AATGCTCTGTCAGTGGACAGGCCGCTTTTCTTTTTTCTCAGCATTTTTAAAGATTTTCATATTATCACATAAATACTTTATTTAATGAATCTAATACCAATATATATGTCAAAGACATTGTATGTATTTTATTAAGAATGACAAGCAAACAAGAAAGATGGTCTCAGATTCGATCAATTGGGAATGAACCAATATTGATATTATATATATGAGAATTTTAACTCAAATATTATCATTTTAAATGGCAGATATGATAAATTGCATCTTCAAGTTTGATAATGTTAGTGGCCATCACATTGGTGGATAAATCAATCATAGCCAACTCATCAATGGAAAGAATTACTTTTACAGTTAAACCAAATTATTGAGCAGTGCTATAATTTCTATGCCCAAAATGAAGAAACAATTGACTCATCATTTAAAGAATATACAAGCCATATAATATGAATTTTCTCAGGAAAAGAAACCAGGTGGTTCTTTGAAATTTGTGGGATTCTACAAAGATTTGTACACTTGTAAAATAGTAAGGCTCATGATGGTTTTGTCACACAGAATTTTAGGGCCTCCCCTGCACTGCTATGTAGCAAAAGGAAAAAATATTCAGTATGATAAGAAAAACTAAGAGAGAGATAGAAAATAAATTACAACCAGAAATTGTTTAAAAAGTTAGTAATTTATAGACATGCTAAGACCACTTCTGAATAAATCATAAAAATGCCTAACGTTAACATTGGCATGGAAATACATTACATGAATTATGCTGCAAATACCGACCAACACATCAATATATTCAATTAATATTTATGTTTATTCTTACTTCTATTATTATTTCTAATAAAATTTTCATTCCATTACATGTACAGCACATAAATTTAAAATTTAAACATTCCAATATTGTTTCATACATATCCTATATGTATGAAACAATATTGGAAAATAAATAATTTTACTGGTGAAGGCTTATTTAAAGTTTTTTTTTTTTTTGTATATTTGGATACTATAAGATAAAAAACAATCAGTTATTTAGTTATTTTGTGAGAGACATACTGACATCTGTATACAGTTAAGTACTGTACAGTACATCAAAAGTAAATATAAGTGTGAACTTTATTTTATTACAAATTACAGTACTTTATCACTAGCTGTACTGTATATGCACAGTTTAAAGTACACATTTCCAGTATTTATTACATATTTGGCATTTCCAACAATACAATCAAGTGCAACTGTATGCATCAACTTACCAAGATTGCCACATACACTGAATATGTCGTATATATTGGATGTACTGTACTATATTTGGACAAGTTATTTTACATATCAATTATAAATATTACAAATAACTTTATAACATATTAGGTATTAATACAACAAAAATAGGAAAAAAAAATTATAAAATATTTTTAATTTTACAAAATTTACCTTTTTTGTATTAGTAACTCTAAATGATTAAGAAATATTCATTAAATTTTTGTCCATCGATATCTTTATCGAGTGAAACTTATATTTATGCTCATGGTTTAGAATTTATTTCGATAACCCGCACGAAAGTCCATTCATAAATTACTACTTCCTACTTTCGTAGTACTTCCTGTCTTTATTGATTCTTTCAACGATACGTAATTATTTGAAGTATCAATTAACAAAATTCAAACGATTTTCTGACATTATATAAATTAAACTTATAAATTATCAAATATATTTCTTTTTCTGCTCTTTATATTAAACATATATTTTAAAATTTTATAAAATATAATGAATGAAATAGTTTATTTGTAATCTTTTAAACGTCAAATACACGATATATTATAATTCGTTTTTCTGGAAAGAAAATAAACAGAAAAGACACACCTACAATCGCTCGCTCGGCTGTTGATCCGCTGCTTTCTACTATTATTGACAGATGACGTCAAAGATACATTTGGATATAAAAGTAGCCCAAAATACTCCACATTTTGACACGAAATAAATAAATTTTTAAATTATAAAAATTTCTAAGTTATTTAATTAATGATATTATAAACTATATTTGCTTTGTAAAATAATATTATTACGGGTAACATACGTTGAGATTTACATCTCTTTCGTGACTAATCTGAATTAATAATTTCTTGACAAGTGCAAAGAAGAACGCAAATAAAATTTATTGTTGAGGATTTATTGTGATTTATTGTTGAACTTATTGGAAATGTTGAGTCGAATTAGTCTAGAATCGGTTAATTTTATGGAAGAAAAACTTTCAAACAGCCGTAGTCCGTAAACTGCATACGTGCCGGGCTGTGATTAGCTCATGTACTTAAGGACTCGTAGAAAATGGATTCATAAAAACCGGAACGTATCTACCGTGTTATAGGAGGGTCGACTATACTTCCCGGCCGATAGAAGGCCTTCCGCGTCCCTCACATCAATACAAGTCTCCTCTAGTTTGCTCTTATAAATCTCTATTTTCTCAGCGGTTCTCGCTAATATTGAGGATCTCACTTGTTTGATAATGTCCGGGAAAAAAACCGAAACATTAAAATATAATATTTAAAAAAACCGAAAAACCTTCAAAATACAACGAAACGAAAACGAAGTCCGAGACAACAGGGAAACCGATACAGAGGATAAACAGATTGAGCCGGGAAGAAACTACAGTTCTTTCTCCTTGAATTTCTGGCTTTTTAACGTATCTCTCCCCTAAATTTTTAATTTGGTCAGTTAATCCAGTAGCGTAGCGTAGTGGGGGCGGCAAAATTTCACAATAAATAATAATAATATCTTGTAAGAATTTGAACCATTTTATTTCATATTTTCGTCCACCTACGACTCGGACCGATTGAAATGAGCACGGAATAGTGTTACCATCCATCCGGACGGTCCGGGAATCGATATCCATCGACGGTCCGTTCGGGGATATCGTGAGCAACTTGTTGACCTTTTTTTTTCTGTTTTGCTTGTACGATTTATTCGTGTATATATATATATATACACCTCCAATATCCAATACAGCTAGGTCACTTGCGTTACTTCTATCCAAGTCTCCCTAGTCGCTAACTGTGACTGATTTAGAACCAGTATGCACTGCACATTATTTTTAGCATTGAAAAATGACATATGCATGCGTCAGGAACTTCTATTCGAACAAACCTCACCTGCCGTCCGGGTCCAAGGACTATATACTACAAGGATAGCTAGATCCCTATTCTACAATGTTAGCCAGGAATGGCAAGTTAGTGACGTCAGCACGAGACCTGACCTCTCTGTTTACATAGAGCAGGGTGTGCACGTGTTTAGTTTTCGCTTTTAATATTCGTCCAATTTTGTGATTAACGAAGTGATTTATTTTAATATTTCTGTAATTGTTTTATTTGACTAAGTTTTTTATAAGGTAAGATGATTTAAATATAAGTCATTAAATATTTAAAGCTATATTTTTATGTTAGGTGAAGAACAAAATGCTGAGTACTAGGTGTGCTGTGTATGGTTGCAATAATAACCTTCTTTTTTCAAATTGGAAGCAACCTGTTTACATCGGGTTTGATCAAAAAATGACAAGAGAAATACTTTTAAAATTAATAGCAGAACTTTATTTACTATCGTATAATGTAGTAGCTTGCGTCAGTGACTGTAGTTGCAGTAACATAAGTTTATGGAAAGAATTGAATGTGAATATCAATGAAACGTTTATTATGAATCAATTATTATTATCAATGAAACGTATATTAGAGATATAAATATGTGGTTCGACATTTTTAATAGCTATGCACCAAAAGGTTCTGTTCCAAGCAAAAATGGATATGGTGTAGACTTGGAATTACAAGAAGAACATTTAAATAAAATGATAAAAATAATCTCAACAATGAGAGCAAGTGGAAAAAATGCCCTCCAAATTTTCCAGAAAGGAATGATAATCTCAATGAAATCGCTAATTGATCTTTTTCAAGATATGAAATCGACTTTTGATATAAAATACATCTGCACTTAAATCAAGATTGTCTGGAAAATTTTTTTTTTCAAATTAGAAGCCGGGGTCCTAATGAACATCCAAGCCCATTAAATGCTATATATAGGATTAGATTGATTATTTTAGGTAAGAATCCTGGTATTTTAGAGTCAAAAGTAAATACTACAGATCGAAGACAAGAGGAATATATTATACCCAAAGTTTTAGAGAAAGCACATGTAGAAGTATCAAGTGAAAATACAGACCAATATACTGAATGTAAAACTACTTTTTCTTCAAATAAATCTTCAGGAAACTCTACATGCAATCTAGACTTTAACACAATCTCTGAAGAAACTTCCTACGATGCTCTCGAGTATATAGCAGGATATTTTGCCTATAAATATAAAGAAAAATACCCAAACTTAATTAATTCCACTAACAAAATTAAAAATCATTACAACTATAGCATTCCGTCATGGGTGCAACATTTATCTTATGGAGGGCTTATTAAACCTACTGATGAATGGCTAGCAAAAATTATAGAATGGAATAAATATTTCGAAATATATCACGATGAATCGTATAAAAAAGGCCCCGGAGTTGTACAGAATTAGTCAGTGGAAACAGTTTTACCTTTTACTTTAATAAAAGATTTTTGTAAATTAAGAACTATAATAAGAATTAATTATAGAAATCTTAAACAAGAAAACTATAAAATATTGAAAAGAATGCCTTCTGAAAATGGTGATTGTCGAAAAAAAATTAAAAAGTTAAGTAAGATAATCACATAATAAAAAATATAGCTCATTAATTTGTTAAATAAATATTACACAAAAGACTTGTAAATTTATTGACGTACAGTACACTTATTAAATCCGAAAATTCTACAGTAGTTTACATTTAGTAGTAATTTAAAAATTAATTAAGAAATAATTTAATATTTTATCGTATTTTGTTATTTAAAAGGTCTGTCATGTTGAAGTAGAGAGCTTGCTGTGACGTCCCATAGATCCAAGGTCATGCTAACAAATATACTGGATCTGGCTATTCTTGTAGTTTAAAGTCCTTGGGTCAAGATGGCAGCCTACAGCTCTGGGGAACTCGGTATCCGGACGTGTCGAAAAATCCCCAGGAAGTTTTCAGGGCATGGTCCGTCCGGATATATCGGGCCCCATCCCTCACCAGCCGGCCGCCTCATTGTGGGCCTGGCCGAACCCATAATGGGCTTGCTAAAAGTGAAAGATTAAAATAAAAAATAGTAATAATTTGGCAACACTTTCTTTGATAGTTTCTGCTACGGTGTGACGTCATCTGAGTGAGGAGCATGAGATTCGCAATTTGCTTGTATAAAACTCTAAAAATTATTAATAATGCGAGATTCGGGCCGAATTTGAAATTAGGAGTACGTTCTATAGCATCATGCATTGATCGTATGTTATTTTCAACTTTGTATTCAATTAGACTTTAATTTTGATCGTATGTTATGATGTCAAGCATTTGATATTGTTTTTTTTTTGTTGACCATATTTAAAGCACGTGATGAAAGAAATGATTTCTCTCCACATAATTTATAATATACATTGGAATTAACTCAGTCAAGCATAATCAGTTAAATTCTTGGATAGAAATTCTCATTTGATATTTGTATATTTAATTTTAATGACCTTGACCATATTAATTACGAGGGTTATTTTTTTTCAACCTCCACCGACCCAGAATAAAAAAAAACAAGAGTGAAGAACAAAACCACTTGGTTAATCTTTACCTATGTGCACTGTCATGGTGGCTGTTTCCTTTCTTCTGTTTGTTGGAATCAGGGAACAGTTGGGACACATGTTCTAATCTAACTTAACCTATTCTAATAATTTGGTAATTTATTAGAATAGGTTAGGTTAGGTTAGAACGAGCGTCCTCATTGTTTCCTGATTCCAACAAACAGAAGAAAGGAAACAACCGCCAAGATGGTGCACATAGGTGAAGATTGATCAACCATTTTATTTGTAGAAGGTAGTTACAGTCTTCACCTATTTTTCCACATAATTGCCTTGTCGATTCAGGCAGACATCATACTGTGACACCAGTTTTTGTATACTCGTGTCGAAGAAAGTTACCCCAGGCCATTCAGCCAACCTGTAACACTGTCAGTCAGCAGTGTACAGTGTGGACCTTAAAATTTGAGGAAACTCCTCACTGAGCTCAGAAATTGTGAACCAATGCCTTTCTTGCACCAATTGATCCACTTTGTCTACCAAACTGTTGGTCATCACACACTTCCTCCCTTGATTGCCCTCATCATGAATGTTGTCATGTCCTTGCTTGAATTTCCTGCACCATTCATGCACACATTCATAGCTCATGAGTTTCTCACCATACACATTACATTACCTTTGATGAATTTCACCTCCATTCAGCCCTTCGGCCTGTAGAAATCGAATTACTGCTCATACTTTACAGTTGGTGGGAGACTAGATTGGTGTCATCGTGTTTACTGCAGAGTAGCAAATGTCTAAAATAGCTTGGCACAACACTAACTGATGAGGGAATATACTACTACTAGGTGTGCACCCTGTCCCTGTCTCACATGCTTCCAACTTTTTTTCATGCGTTAATGGAGGTTGAAAAAAATAACCCTAGCATATTACATAAAAGAAAGGTAAATGAAAATTATAATTTACATTTGAAGTGTTAACCTTTGAATCTTTTATATTTATATACTTATGTGTATAGATAGTTTTGTAATTACAAAAGTATCTGCCCAACTGAGATGGTATAAAACTTTACTTTTGAAATGTTTAAAACAAAATAAGAATTCACAGTGTTAAAATTTACTCCAGCAATTAATATGCATTAAGCAAAATCAAGCTAATAGAATGTAACAAATAACAAGAATAATTACAATTATCCCATCAGTATATTTAAAGTTTATATACTGTATAAGTTATATTAGTGGATAAAATTGTTAACATTAAATAAAAAAATAATTGTGCAAATACACTTTATTAAGCTACTTTTTTGCAAAATATTTAAATAATGTTTGAACAGTGTTAAGCATTTTCATTTCTTCATACAATTTGTGATAGGTATGGATCACCTTATTAAGATTTCTCTGTACTTCTGCACTTCTTTCTATGTTTGATCCATGTCAAAGAAAATTTGGTACATATGATGTGATCAAAAGCCAGTTCAACTTTCTTGCAGTTGATCCCTTACTTGTAATATTATTGTGCTTGCATTCCTGTAATGTGTATGTCAGAAGGTGCAATAGTGACACGGTTGCACTATCTTGCAGCTTCTGTGATGTAAGTTTTCCTTTCAGATTGGAAGGAAAAAATTTCATCTACTGTACCATAAAAAATTCATGTTAACTGATTAATTATTTGCTTAAAGCAGGAAATAGTTTTATTACATTTAATCATGGTTATTGGTTATCACATATTGAAGTCATGTTAAGTCAGGTTTTTCTGTAAATCATTTTATTAATGTATTATTATGTAGGATTTTGTAACTATGATAAACCAATGGTTAAAATAGATTATATTATACAGTGAAACCCTGTTATTATGTTATCAGTTTATGTGAAATCTGTGTTAAGGCAAATTAGATTTGCAGTCCTGCTGTTGAGACAGAATAGGTATTTCAATGTTAAGGAATTCAATCAACCCAAAAATACTAAATTACATAATCAAACTAGCAGTTTTTAAAATAAAATTTAACTTTAATAAGATGGACTAAAGTTTTTGGTAATCTTAAACTACCATCATCAAGTTATATTCAAAAATGGAACATACTGCTGAAATGGAAAATTTTTAAATTTTACAGTTGTCTTCTCTTGATTGGACAGAATTTATGGCTGTGTTGTCCTCATCACCTGAATATTGGTGGATTTCTTGTAAAGCCTTCCATGCTTGTGCCAGCATATTTATTATCATTAAAATTGATTGCAATGTCTTTATTGTATTCCCTATAAATTTCTAGCTTTTCTAGTTTCCAAATGGCTGTTTGATTTTTTGAATAATGGACAACTTTCTGTCCAGCTTTATTGTTTTTTGTGATTTTGTAAATAATTATGTATGCAATTTATATCTGGGTACAGATATTCCTTGATTAACGTGGTTAATTACTCTCTCAATGCTGTTGCATATATCAAAACTGTGTTAATCAACTACAGTACCTTGACCAACATTAACACCACCACCTGCTAGAACAAATTTTTAGTTAATAACAAATATTTTTATTTTAGTAAATGAAAATAGCAAATTCACCAACACCTTATTTGCTGAGGAAAACATATCTACATTAAGTAAAGACAGCTGTTAAAGCTGTGTTAATTAAAATTTCTGCCACCTATAAAAAGGGATTGCTGCAATTAATTTGTGTTAAACAAATCCTGTGTTAAGCAAGGGATACCTGTAATTATTTACCATAAAATGACAGGTAGCAAAACTGCCCATGGCAAATTTACAATGTAGCAAAATTGTTCACAGCAAACTTGCCTCAAGGCAAATTAACCATGCAGCAAATTTGTTGATAGCAAAATTGCAGCAGAAAATTGACATGACACTCTCTTTGGTCTCTCTACTACATTGTTCAAAAAATTAAGCAGACATTTGGAACCTAGAAAAGCTAAGAAATTTATAGGGAGTGCAATAAAGGCATTACAATCAATTTTAAAGACAATAATATGCTGACACAAGCATGGAAGACTTTACAAGAAATTCACCAGTAATCAGGTGACTAAGACGATGTAGTCATAAATTCTGTCCAATCAAGAGAAGACAACTATAAAATTTAAAAAGTTCCCATTTTGGTGATACATTTCATTTTTGAATGTAACCAGACGATGGTAATTTAAGATTACCAAGACTTTGATTTATCTTATTAAACTTAAATTTTATTTAAAAACTGCTAGAGTTTGGTTTTGTAATTTAGTATTTTAGTGTTTATCTAGTACATTGGAGTGTTAGGTTAATACAGAGTATCAATTTTTAAGTTTCTTCGACTTTGTATTAATGGAGTTTGATTGATTGTATTATAAACAGAAATATATTATATTAAATATACAGATTCTTAAATCAGTGCTATGTAAAATTTTTAACTAAATACTTTGACAAATGATTTTCCTTCTGTGAAATTCATTTCTCATTTGTCTTTTCAAACTTAGAATTAATATTTAGGAAATTTTAAAAAACAAAAGTCTCATTATATGCAATTTAATTAAATGAAAAAAATAAAAATAAAAAGTATGTCTCATATCCTATATCAAATGCAAAAAAGAAATATGACATCTAGATTTATTCTGTCTCATAATGATTATATTTTTTTAAAGTATAGTTTAAAGTGACTGATTAGTACAATTAACATAGCTAATGTATATATGAAGAGAAATTGAGATTTGAACTTTGGAACAGCCATGAGATTTGGACTCACAGACCAAGACATATAGTCAGTGTGATGAGAGATTGCACTTGATCAATGGTAATTGTGCATGTTTTATGGGAGATAGGATGACAGGATGGTGTAGTGCTTGAACTTATCCAAACCTGTTACTAGAGATATATATGGTCTTTTTTTCTGGGAGTTTCTAACTTCTCCTGGATTTTAACGTCTTTTAAAATTAAATGAACATTCCTTTTCAACACTCTCGTTACCACTGATACTCCGCAACATTGTTTAATTCCTTCACTCAGTTTTCTCATTTTCTTCGTTTATAAATCTATGCACATTGCATATTATTTTGTGAGCTGGCTATTTAAAGCTTTAAATAGACTTTCCTTTAAATTTCCTTTTGATGGTAGTGGAAAAATATTGAAACTTTCCAGAAAACAGTCTCCATCAAAGTAAATGTGTGTGTGACTGACTATTAAATCCATAGATCATCCTTCCAGCCTTCCCTACTTTCCCAATTATCACCCAAGCTACAGAGGTTTCACTTTTGTTTACACAAATGCTCTTTTCGAGGAAAAATGATGTATTATAACTGATAAAGCTCATAAAGCAGGTCCTTGCACATGTAGCAAAATTATTATCACATCTATCTCATCCTGTCACACTATCTCCCCTAAAATAGGTGCAGTTAGTATTGAACAAGTGCATCATAATCACACTAACAAAGTCATTTACTCTTATGAACAAATTTATGCTAGACCATATAAATCCAATAACTTAAAATTGGTTCCTTTTTTTCTCAAAACTTTATCATCAAGGATTTCTGATTGTTACTTATAACTTATTTCATATAAACTTTTACTTTAAACATGAAGTATTTAAAAGTTGGGTAGAATTTTATAGTGTTTTCTTGTTAGTGTGATGGTTAAAATATACTATTATCCTACAATAGAATGTCATCTACTTCTATTGCACATGGTAGGCCTAGTTCAAAACAAACTGGCTTCTAAACCATTTACCATTTCTAAAAATGTTCAGTAAAATTAATATCATTTATATTCTGTAAAATACTTTAAAAAATCATATAAAAGGTATATTTAACTTAACTGATATTCGAATTTTTTTTTATTTAGCCTCTCTTGGGTTAACTGAAGAACAAGTTCAAATTCAGAAGATTGCCAGTGATTTTGCACAAAAGGAAATGCTACCAAATATGTCAAAATGGGATGAGGAAGTATGTATTTGAATAAATTAAATAATTAAAATATTACACATTATGGATATGTAATATTAAAGTCTGTCAATTATTGAAAAACAAAAATTACTATTTCGTTTTAATGATATCTAATACTGCAGTACCTCAGGATATGAAATTAATCTGTTCCAAAACTGAGATTGTATCATAAAAATGTCGTAAAGTGAATCATTTTTCCCCATACGATTACATGTAAAACCAAATAATTTGTTCCAACATGAAAAACACACTCAAATTAAAGTTAAGTAGTACATTAAAAAAAAAAACAACTATAGTAAGGAAAACACTGAAAAATGCGTTTTGTAGTTGTAAATGTATAAANCCGGCTGTCAAGAACAGGTTAACTTAAATGAGATTCAACTATTGGTTAAACTGCATTGTCAAGGAGATCCTGCCAGACCATCAACAAAATCATCTTGAAATTAATGCATGATGAAGTGAAATTAGTTTTAAATATCTCCACTGCTTCTAACCATTTGAGGGGCTCCATGTGGGGTGTAGTAAGGATGAGTCTGGCCCGAGAGAAGTCCCGCTACAATTTTGAGATCTGTGGTGTAAGTATTTGAAGGAACATTGGTCTGACATCCAACATGCTAGAACCAACATCGCCCCTCCCTACTTATATCGTAGACCCCAAAATTGTAGTGGATTTGTAAGACAAATGTAGGGATTGCCTCTTTCTTTCTGGCTCTGCCTCAGTTCTGTCATGTGTGGCTTTGTTAAGCCATATTTCTTCTGTCTTTCCTTTCTCTTCATTACTTGTGACCACGTCTTATGGAAAAACCCCACTTCCGGCCTTTGTTTACTTGGCTACGATGTGGTTGGTTAAACCATGTGGTCCGACCTGTGTTAGACAATAGGGGCTGACGCTTGATTGGTCGAAGGGGGGACGGACAAGGTGGACAAAAGGGAGGTCCGAACAGGAAGAGAGTCAGTTCGGGACGAGACCGTGTGGAGCGAGGACACGTTAGGACGAGCTAGGAAAAAGGAATTCGCCACGTGGAAGATCTGAGGTTTTTTTTCTTTTGACCAGTCGCCCCTTTATTCTCCATTCTTTATAATTTTTCTTTTTCCATCTTTCGCTAAAATTTTGGGCCCTAGGTTTAAAGTAATTATTTAAGTTAGATTTAAACTAGACTAAGATTCTATTGTCGGTTGAACGTGGGATCCACGTGCTTTGTCGGGACGAGAGTTCAGACCTAGTATTGTACTGTACAACCTAGTTTTAAGTATCGATATTTGCCTATTTGGATTCTAGAATTTTTTAATAAACTATATCAAAGCCGAATTATCCTTTGGGAGTCAATTATTTATCGTTCGGCTACAAATGGCGTCCGCGACAGGATTTTGTTGTTAACGGTATACTGGTTTGATTGTATAGAAAGTAACGTATTTTCGCGCTTGTAGAGTTAAGACCCTACCTTTTGTAATCAGTTGTATTAATTTTTTTGTTATCACTAGTTATGGATGGTTGTGACCAGAGCAATGTTGCTACGTCCCCAGGAGGTGTGGGTGAGGGTATCCCTCCGGTAGTCACAGGGTTCCTAGGGATGGTACCCAATTTTTCTAATAGTGCCAGTGATTCGGTTAATGTCCGCCAATTTTTCAAGACCATAGATAAAATATCTCGTTTGGCTGGGTGGAACAGTGAAGTGAAAATAGCCGTCTTACAAGCTCGGTTAAAAGGGGGGCCCTTGTCGACGTTCTTCAGCTTGGCTGATCAAGAACCTTGTACGTTTGAGGGAATTAAGCAAAAATTGATTCAATGTTACGATAAACAAGAACCCAAAGAAAGGAATGCACTCGACCAACTCTTAAGTATACAGCAGAACCACAATGAGACGGTGTGTGACTACGT